CAACACCCACCATACCCTGCCGCCCCATCCCCAGCCGTTTCGTTGTGAATAGGAGCAATTTTCTAAGAGCTATGAAATCACGTAATAGGTCCTAATATGCAGCTGCTTGGCACAGTGAGGCAGCCTCTTTTAACGCGGAAGTCAAACACAATATGTGTTTTGGCTGGAGAATGACTGAATACAGGCCAGATTTATTCAGATGAAAATCCACACAACTGTCACCGTTACAAAGACAAACTATTTGCTCTATCTTTTGACATGTGGTGCCCTATTTCAAAATCTGTCTTCACTAAAGTGGTCATAGCAAAGCATTCAACCTGCAAGAAAAATCATTTTCGGAAAATTGAATGGTGGGCCAAACCATTTGAAACATATTTGTAGTGTTTGGAAACATATTTGTGATAAAAGCTCGAGCAGCGGCAGTGCTATTCCAGTTACATTATCTGTGGCCTGGTTCATAGATTTATACAGATGTGATCATTCTCAAAACAACAAAACACATGTCCTCTTCAATTAATATGTTGTCACAATTAAGATCATATTGGTATTCATAGGCAGATGTGTTGCATCTGATACATCTTCTTGACAATGTACTGTATGCTCCTGAATTTACTAGTGCCCTTGCATATACTAAGATTCAAGGTTAATTCACTTAACATGGAAGTGTCTGATTGCTTTAATTCTGATTATGTTACAGGAGGCTAGTATAAATTAAAAACTCAAGCTGGGTTTATATCACTTTTTAGGCTTGTCTATTATCTTGACATTTGATCAGTTTTTAGATGAAAAATTTAAAATGTTGAGATAAAAATGCTTTTAGTGTCATACTTAATGGCAGAGGAAAATAAAACCAATAATAAGGTATTAATAACAGACATTGCGTGTAATTATGTTTAATTTAGAAGAACATTCTATATCAAAAACACTACAAATTCAGCTAAGTGGTCAGTTTTTGATGTTGATGTTACACCATTGGTGGGTTGAGTGTTAGAGTTTCCCCATCACTGTTGGGCAGTGAGGTATTACTAGTAATATTAACAATATTACAGTTACCCCACAAAACAATAATTAGTCACAACCTTACTTTTGTTGAATTCAATCAATTTAACTGTTTAAAGACAATGTCAAATTATTGGACTTCACTAAAACGTATGTAATAAAGTTAATATCAATAATCATTATTGTGATTAATATATAAATCAAATAGACAGCATAGACCTCTGACCTGTATCTACAGCATTCCATATAAGAATATCATTGTTGTTACTATTATTAGAATTAAATAAACAGTATAGACCTCTGACCTGTATCTACAGGACTGACCTATATAGCAATATCATTGTTGTTATTATTATTAGAATCAAATAACCAGTACAGGACCTTTATACAGCACTGACCTCTGTGCTGTATATGTCCTGTCCTCTGTAGCTTAGTATTATTTTGGAGCTATTGTCGGTAGAATTGTATGAAATGTTACACACGCTTTATGTACAACATTCCAAAAATCAGCATTGAAGAGTTATGGCCCGGTAATCAGACCAAACCAAGAGTTTGGCAACTAATTACAGACAAAAAATATTTGATGCCCCATCGATGTCTTGTTCATGAGTTATTAGCCAAAATGTAAATATGCTTAATGATGACCACATTGTGGCGCTATTGTTCTGAAGAAAATCACACATCACTGTTGACTGCGTGTATTGGTAGCATTTGAATGAAGACTAGATTTTAGTTGATTTTGCATATGTCGAAAAAATTGAGTGATGGTCTTTTGTCACTATTCAGTGGATGTTTGAAAAAAGAAAATCAGCTCTGTAGGACATACAGGAGATTTATTAAGTACAACTACAATATTTGTCAGCATATATGCTGCCGCATTAGGTCTGGAATCAAAGCTTTATAGGGAAGTGTGGACAGTCCTCAAGCCTTAGTTGCACAATAACATACACAGCCCAGCCATATATACTAGGTTTCCAACTAATCTTGTTACTGCCAGGTAAATTGTATATGTCCTCAAACTCCATGCCACACAGGATTTTTTCCATTAGAAATCTGTCACTTGGTCCAAGCCAAGATTCTAGAGATACATAAGTAATGTCACAGAGCCCAGAAAACATTATACAACTGTTTCACAGTTAGCCAGAGTACACTGTGGCTAGTAAACTGACCTTGCAAGGTGCTCCTTAAAAAAATAATATGTGGGAAAATGTTGGGAAAACTCCAACAATGTATTAATTACTTTAAAATTTTTGGTTTTCAGGCATCTGCTACTGAGTCACTTTGGAGGAATTAGTCAAATGTTTTTAATGTCATAATTTGGATACAAAGACATCTGATGCACAAATATGGATGAGCTAACTTGTGTCTAGAGGTAGATAGGTACAGTAGTAAATGCAAGGATCCTCCATGTATGAAATCCAGCTACAGACATTTTATTACCTCTATCTTGAACTCACTCTTTTTCATTCAAGTTTGACAGCTAATTTGCAAAAGCTATAGTCCTCCAGTCCCTATGACATAGTTCCTACAACATTTTTAAAAAGCATACTCCCTGTCTTAGGTCCTAGCCTGCTCTCTATCATCAATTCCTCTCTCACATCAGGGTCCGTACCTGACCTCTTTAAAATTGCCAGTGTTCAGCCACTTCTTAAAAAACCCTCTCTCAATCCAGACCAGTTAGAAAGCTATAGACCTATCTCCAAACTTCCCTTTTTATCTAAAATACTTGAAAATATTGTTGCGGAAGAAGGTCATAAAATCTTTGACAAATTCCAATCTGGTTTTCGCCAAAAGCACAGCACCGAGACAGCAACACGCCACAGCATTACTGAGTGTCTAATACATCCTTATGCATGCTGACAAAGGGTGAACGCTTCTTCTTGATCTGACTGCAGCCTTTGATACCATCGATCATGCCATTTTACTGGACAGATTACAGAACTGGGTTGGCATTTCTGGTTTATGGTTAAACTGGTTCCATTCATATTTGCATTAATAATCATGTTTCCTCTTCCGCTCCCCTGCTATGTGGTGTCCCTCAGGGGTCGGTTCTTGGTCCAGTTCTGTTCTCCCTGTAAACATACTTTTTGATATTTAAGGTGGATCTAAAATCTCTACTTCTTACTCTTGTGATCAAAAATATTCATCTGAAACTCAATTCTGAGGAAGTTCTGTTAATAATTTTAAAAGTCCATTTAGGAGGATCTATTGTCAGAAATTGATTATAATATTTATAGGTCAATTGGTTAATCACCAAACAATCATTGTGTGTTTATTACCTTAGAATGAGCCATTTTTATCTACAGAGGGAGTGGGTCTTCTTCGACGGAGTCCACCATGTTGAACCACCCTGTTTTTACAGTAGCCCAAAGGAAGGCTGAGCTGTATTCAAATAGTTGCAATCTGCAACTTCACCTTTAGACACCAATAAATCCTACACACTGGTCCTTTAAAACAATGAAGAAATGAACTGTAGAGATTACATCCATTGTGAACTATGCATGTGAACTATTTCCTTTTAACTGAACTTTGAGCGAGCTCTTCTTTAGTCTGAACCTGCACAACACTGCCTTTGGGAACTATATACAATGCACACTAGAATCAAACAGTAATGGATCATATAGTGTTGGGATTTTTGCAGTGGATGAAAGGACTCCTCATTGATTTATGATCTTTAATACTAAACCACCCAACAAACCGTCAGCCTGCCTTTAAGATGAGGTTTTAAGATATGGTGAAGGTGAACCCCAACACAGATCAGAAACTTAAGGGTTGATTTGAAGCTTTGTCTTCAAACAGTGCCAGTAAACAAAGCATCACTGTCCAGTGAAGTGATTTACTATTTAGCAGTGATATATAAGAAGCAGAAGTGCCAACATGATATCATCTATGGCTGAAATACGAAAGAGTAATGTTTCTGCAGCTGCCAGAGTCTAAACGAGCTGCATATGATTTAATGCACTTACCAAGGTGCTGCCACACACTTCTTTTAATGGCAAACTTATACACAACAATAAACAGCTAAGAGACTTTGATGACAACAGAGGTGGTGAGAAAAATGAGGACAAACAATAGTTTTATACTGCGTGGGCCTGATCCAATTTGGATGCAAATGCTCAGAGGTTTTCTGCCCAAGTCCTCCATTTATTCTGCATTATGCAAATGTTACAATTAGGCTGCTTATCTCAACAGGATGTGTGATTTCAGAACAATAGGAGATAATGGATACCATCAGGAGCAGGTCTCTTGGGGACAGGGAGTATTTAGATAAAGCTAGCTTTTCCTGATAGGAAATTTCACACTTGCAGTAATAAGAACACAATGTCATTGTACTAATGGGAAAGATTTTTACTACAAGTTTGGCTTTATCTTTGTGCCATTAGGACACTTTCAAAAAACAGTAATTCATAATTTCATGTGGGTGAGGCAGCATAAAATTGTTCATTGTTGCCAATGTGTAGCTTTCCCATAGAGACAAATATTTTAACTTGACATCAAAGTGAAAAACAAGACTTAGAGTCATTGTTACCTGTTGACGGCAGGCATTCATCAATTTAGTCTCAAATAGTATTCATTTCATCATTAAAGAAGCTCATGAAGTCGTTGCTACTGAGGGTTATAGGAATACATGGCTCAATAGAGCTGTGACTCTCTGTCAGCGGCTGTCAGGGAATCAGCAAAGTCTTTAAGATTTATCCTCGCCAATGCTTAAAAATTACATCATATCTGGTCCGTCACATGGATATGCAGATACGTGTCCATGCAACATTTCTGGTCAGAAGGAAAAACACTTCTGAACATCATGCTCATCATTCAACACGTAAAAATCAACAGGTTTCTGGACATGAATAAATGTTACAATGCACAAACGAAAGTGGGAGGCTGTACACAGTCGTTCACACAGTCGAACAAAATTGGAAAAAAAATCCCTTTTGACACAAACATTCAAAATAGATTGAGCGGCTCCAGCTGTTCAACATGAGTGACATGACTGCAGTTTGAAAAGAAGGGAAAGGGAAGGAAAAGGAGAGAGGGAAAAGAGGGAAATTCCTGTGTAGGACGTACAGTACGTTATTAACAGGTCAATCGGAATATCATAATTGTAGGCCTAAATGCAATGGATATTGTACTGATAATATAGTAAAGTTTTTAAAAAAGCAGAAGCAAAACTTACAAACCCACAAAACAAGAGAGAAACGCTGCAAATTCA